TATCAAGACTGTGGCTTGGTAGTCTACGCAGCAGTGTCTCAAAAGTTTGCTCTCGCCATATCAACGAAAACACAATTGTATTCGTATGATCACGTGTTAATTTTATGCTGTTCTCTTTTAGGGAATACGAAGAGAAAGTAAATGAAAGCAGTCAACTACAATGTTGCTTGTTGATTACTTCTCCAACGTTATTACGAAAACATAAAAGATTAGTCATATGCATTGTATGAAGATATGTCGTCATTTTTTCACAATCAAAAAATGAAAACAGAAGCAAAGTACAGAACACGATGAATAGCAAACAGCGAGAATGACACATACTCCGAATAGAAAGTGAAAATACCCTGTGACGATTTACCTAATATATTATCATTTGTTATACAACAGCACAGACAACAAAGTACGATTACACAGCTTGCATTGTTTCTTCACATTTCATACTTTGCCCATACAATGAAGTTCAAATTCAAAGAAGAAAATTCATTTGAACAACGTAAGCAAGATTTCGAAAGGATTCACAATCGATATTCAGAACGTATTCCGGTGATTGTTGAACGAGAACCAAAATCTCAAATACGGGATATTGGTAACCAAAAATTTCTGGTTCCAAACGACATTAATTTCGGACAATTTTTGTGGATCATTCGGAAGCGTATTCAACTGCAACTCACAGACGCCCTTTTCATCTTTGTCAACAACCATAAGCCTGGAAGGCTCAACTTTTTGTTTAGTTCCACGCAGCAATGGACTATCCCACAACTAACGTCGACCATGAGTGAGATCTATGCAGAACATAAGCACGACGATGGTTTCTTGTATATCGCTTATGCTAATGAAAACGTTTTCGGTTACTGATGAAAACTCAATAGAAAAACAAAAGCTTTCATTTTAACTATTTTACCCTCGAACTACATATATAAATATGAATGTAACTGAAACTTTCGACTCTATTTCAAATATATTGCCTCTTCATATAATCTATGTTCGAACAATGGTCCAAGTACCTCGTTCAAGTTTAACGGTGCTCTATAGGATGCTGTGCGCTAGGATAAACATGAATTAGTTCTTGAAAATTCATGTTGAATGAAGCTCGGTATTTAGTTGAAAAAAAGGATGTGGATGTGGGTGTGGGTGTGAGGGTGTGAGGATGTGAGTGTGGATGTGGGTGTGATTGTGTGGGTGGGTGTGGCTGTGGGTGTGTATGCATATTATTGTAGCCCACATCCACATTCACACACCTACCCACCCACACCCTTAATGTAGTGGTCTATAATTTATAATTTTCGTTGGTCAAAATAGGAATAGATTAATATTCTAGGAGTGAAAAGTTATTTCTCATTCAATCAATAAACTTAAAATATCAGCTGCTGGTAAAATACAGAAGATTCATCTACGAATCAATCACAAATATTAATTATTCTTAATAAATCTCTGCAAAGTCTATTTTGACTAGTTTGCTCATCAGTACCGAAAAACTCAGTGATAAACAACGTCATATCGACTATGTATTACAGCGAAGAGTGAGTACTATGTGTTGCATGTGACGTATATTCAAGTCGTTAAGCGCAATGATTGAAGTTCAAATCATAATAATCATCAACAACATGAAAATGATTGGTGAAGTTATGTTCGTTCAATTAGGTCAAAATCATCAATAACGATACCAAATGCTAGAGAAGTTCGCCAAATTATGGGCATAATTTTCGTGCCAGTCACTGTTTCGATGAATGACAAATCCTTACTGAGATGTGCAAAGAATGGTTCGACCAACGAAAATCTATGCACTTTTTCACACAAAAACCATGTCCACAGTTATTATCTGATTCTTTTATCATGTAAAATGCACAATTAGTCTACACTCTCTTCTATCTTCAATCAAATTCATACTGCTCAAATAAAATAAATTAAGTAGGAAATAGTCAATTTCAAAACATAAGTCGTATCATTAAGTAGCCATTATCCACAAAATTCTATGCCATAGTATGGCACTTCTAGCTCTTCTTTCGTCGTCTTCTCGATACATGAGTCATGCTTTGAATCAATTGTCCCCTTTTCCTGATGGAAGCGTCTCTTCTTCTTGGAGAAAAGCATCCTGAGTTCATAAAAATGTAACGCATATAAACCTCAAATCTGAATTTCAAAATTTGCTTTCATCTCAAACGAAATGATTCATCACCTGAGATATTCTATTAAAACATTTTATTGAACTGTTACAAAATATCGATTAAATATGGCATACATATGAAATGGAGTATTTCAATTTAGATGATTATCGGTCATTATCAGTATCATCTTTACAACACTTCGAAGTTAGGTAAGAACAATCAAAAATTTTCCTTTCGTAGATGTTCAATCATAAGTTTTTCTTTGTCAACATATATGAATTTAACTATTCAGTATAGAATGCTTCTTTTTCTTGTAAATTTTCTCGAAAAAATTAAAAATAAAAGAAAATAAGAGACAAAATAAAATATAACTATCACTTACCCCTTTCTCATCTAAATATCATGTTGAAAAAAAAAAGATGTAATGACACGTCATAAACAAATAAGAAATTTTTCCAAGAGATAAACAGAAAGATAGAATTATATCGTCGACAACAGAAGGGAACATATGAGTAAAATGATTTTTTCATTAAACAATAACAATTGGGAGTACCTTCAACAACTTGAGTCTATCACAATGAGAATATCTCCAATCTAGATACAGACAAAATGGTTTCATGTGCAATCAATTATCGAATAATTTCATATCATCGACGTGATTTGTACTATAATTTCAGTTCCAACTACCTTTGTAATAAGTTAACTGTAGCATCCCACATTATTATTCAACGTGTTGTAAGAATGAATTCATTCTACATAAAATTTTATTACAAATGACAAAACACTATAGAACAGTTTCATTAAAATGTTCAAATGAAATAGTATAAGACTACGAAGATCTGAAAATGTAATGTTTTCATCTTCGTTCAAAGTCAATTTTTGTTAATAGGGTTCGCATCACCAATCAATATGACATGTTTTATCTAATGTATATAGAACTTGTTGAAAGTTCAGTTATTTTGACATATTTAACAAAACAAGCATACGTTAATCTACTTCATACAAAGAGAAAAAAACAGTTTGATGTTATCCGTCCTATACACTCTTTTAAAGAAACTACTTAACTTTTTGTATTTGAGCTACTTTTTTCTATTGAATTTAGCTAGTGTGTTTATTCCTAGCATTAAAGTCGTCGATACATTATAAGACCTCAAGTCTTCTATTCTGTCTTATCGTTCATAAGTTGCAAAGGGATCTTCAACTATGTCCCTAAAAAAATCATAGATTTTGTTACCCTCAACGATTTAATTTTTATAAGTCTTTTTATGTTGGTTATGTTGTTAGTAAATGTTTTTTCATTTTTCTATGCTATTATCGTTAACGAAAACCGCCTATATTCTCTTACAAAAGAACATTTTACAAAACAAGTATCTTAATCATAAAATGTACTAAACCACACAAAATACGATTAATTTACACATCATAGTAGGAATATTTTTCACTAAATAAAAGAACTTATTCATAAAATGTTGTTATTGCATACGATCGAATAGAAAAAAACAGTTTCGGATTTTTCAGCATGTCCTTCATGATCAGCCGTTTGTATTGAGTTTTCATCATTGAACCTATGATTTCTTCAACCCTTCCTGAATCAGATTCTTGAACAATGTGATCATGACAAATATGTAATGGCAATAGATGGGAATTTGAGTTTAAGAACATTATCTATAAGAAATGTTCTATTTTTATTCAGTTATGAAAACAATCATATAGTTGACTATTAGTGAAAAGAGAAGAAAGCAAATGACAAATAACTGAACTTGATCATAACAGGCATTACTTTTCACATACCGTATACATACGTCTGTTAATTACATTTTATATTACTCAAATACAGACTGCCTTGAATGTCAGAAACAACAGAGAAATATTTTTGAAGCAAAGATTAGAAATGCGTATATAGAAACAAAAAGTACAAACATGGTAGTAAAACTGAAAAATCAACTATTAGAGGAGGCGTCTTCTAATGTGTCGAAAGCTTGATATGCTTGATGTAGATTCATGATTATCTTAAAAAACAAGCCATCAACTTATCGTGACATAAATTGTCAATAATCTTATATGGTTCGAATCGAGACTTACTGGGTTTTATAAAAATAAAAGTAACTATATCGCCTATGAGAAAAATATTGCTGATTCTGAACTACAAAGATAAATAGAAAGTGATTGATCGAATATTGTTCATATTAGTACAAATTATCTCTTCTGTTTTTTAGAATTTTCTTATATTTATTCTGCAATTATTTAGTGCGCGACAGAAGTTTCATCCCTATTGAAATGAATATATTAGTTTATTTCGATAACGAGGTTTAGAATGCAACATATACATACACAGAAGCCTTAGAGACATACACTATGAGTATTCTGATTTTTTTAAACTGCTTGTTTCTTCGTTGGATAAAGCAGAAGTATATGAAATACCCTGTTCGACAGCATTTTGTCCGAACCGGTGACATGTCTGATCGAGTCCTGCTTTTAGCTCTCCCCTTGACAAGTTGGTTATGCTTTGCTGTCTGTTTGTGAGAGCAAGTGTCCATGATACTTGATGACATTGCATTCAGGTGAATGAGATGGCCAATCTGATAATTGAGTTTCGTTGATCATACACATTAGCTGCTTTGATACAAGCGTATTGTTTGCGTCATTTGTAGCTTAGAGATCTATGTACCTATCAATGCAC